TTCTTTAATCTAGTAGAGGACAACCTTAAGAGCCATGAGCAAATGCCATACTTAATGGAGTGTTGAGAAATTTGTCTTGTCTTTTAAAGAAGTTCCTCTGATGTTTCTTGCAAAACTGGTTTCAAGACTATGAACTGCCTAAACTGTTGCTTATCCACGAATCCTTGCATCATTCCTTCAAATCTGAATGGTAATATAGCTGGATAAAATATTCTGGTTGAAGTTTCATGAGGTGTTTATTTCACTGAAATTTTTTTGTTTGTTATTATTATATCTCATCATTTTCTTCTAGCTTGTAGACTCACATTTGATAGATCTGCTGTGATTTTTATGGGCAATGCTTTGTATGCAAATTTCTTTTTCAATTTTTCTGCTTTCAATATTCTGTCTCTATTTTTGGCTTTTGTCATTATAATTACAATGTGCCTTGGAGTTTTTCTATTTGCTTGTAACCCTTCATGTCTGTTGGATATAAGTGACTGCATCCCTTAACTATATTAAATTATTATCTATTCTTTAACTAGTGGTTCCTTGTCAGATTTGTCTTCCTGTTCTTCAAATCCACTGAGTCTTTTTTTTTTCTGATTTAGTTTTTGGGCCACATCTAGCACTGCTCAGGGTTTACTCCTGGCTCTACACCCAGGTATTATTTCTAGTGCACTTAGGGACTAGACGGAGTATAGGGATAGAACTCACATTGGTCACATCCAAGACAAGTGTCCCACCTATTGTATTATATCTCTAGCCCCAACTCTGCTTAAACTTATATTATTCCTCTTGAACTTATCCCATAGTTCTCTGGTATGCTGTTCATTTCTTTTTAGACATTTCCCCCCAATCTTTTGTAGATTTCTAGAGGATTTCTACATCTCATCTCATTTTGTAGTTTACCAATATTTTCCTCAACTGTTCTTATTCTGCTACTCAAACCTTCTGTTGCATTTCTTAATATTCAATTTAAATGTGAGGGTGGAGTTTTTGGTCATATTAGGCAGTGCTCAAGGGCTAGTGTTGGCTCTGTGCTCAAGAGATATATCTGGTGATGCTCAGAGGACCACATGTAAATGAAGGAATTCCAACCAGGATTGTGATTAATGAAGCTGCATGCAAGACAAATACATTACCTTTTATACTATCTCTTTGACACCTACACCTCCTCCCAGATTTTCCTTTTCTCTCTCATCTGATAGTCATTTTTTCAGTTCAACTCTCATACTTTCTTTTGCTTTGCTACCTGTATTATCATTTCTTTTGGCTTATTAGACATTCTCAATATGGTGTCACTAAACTCTCTCAGAGTTTCCAAAGCTCTTTGGTACTGCTAACGCCTTCTATGTTATTATTTTTGCTCATTGAGCTTAGTGGACTTCTAGAAGGTTTCCCCATTGTGTTGCTGTGGTCTGAGCATGAATCTTTTCAGTTAGCTTCCCTGGAATTATCTGAGGGATTAGGCTGGGTGTTGTTCTTTACCTTCTCTACCTGTCTTCACCCAGTGACAGGACGTATAAGCGTGTACAGTATGAGTGGTGATGAGTAGCACTGATCAGGGTACAAGCATCAGCAGGCAGAGTTATGAGGGTAAGATACGACTGTTGCTTGAAAGGTTGAATGAGCAAGAAGACCATGTGAGGTGTGGATGTGGGCCTGCTGAGATGGTAGAGGTTTAGCCAAGTGGGATTTTGTTTTGTGTGCTTTTAATTCTGATCTCACAGATAAAATAAAAAATCTCTGAGATTTAATGAGTCTCTGTTACTTGCTAAAAGTATTGAAACCATTTATGGCTTTTATGGGGTGAAATTTGTCCTTCCAAAAAAGAATTGAAAATTCATGTTGGTATCCTGACCCACCAATACTGCAAAATGTGATTATTTGGAGAAAGGGTCTTTACAGAAGTAACTAGGTTAAAATAAAGTCATTAGGGTAGACTCCAATTCAGTGTTCCTGCTGTACCTATGGAAAAAAAAAAGAAATTTGGTTACAAATATCTACTGAGGGAGAATACCTGTGAACACAAAGGCAGAAGTTGGGGTTATGCTTCTAAAAGTCAAGGGATAGAAACATGGTAATCAAACCACCAGGGCCTGACAGAGACCTGGGACACACTCTTCCACACTGTTTCAGAAGGAACAAACCCTGCTGACAGCTTGCTTTTAGATTTATGACCTTCAGAACTGTGAGATGGTAAGTTGTACCATTTTGTTTTGTTTTTAAAGTCTCCAAGTCCGGGACCAGGTAGGGTGCTGCGACCACTAGGACCAAAGCTCCAGGGACTCCATCTCTTTCTCAATCCAGGTCAAAGGCCTGGTAGGTGTGGTATCTCAAGTCTCGGCCATTCACAGATAACGTGTCCACAAGTTATTCTCCCCCTCCATATCCCATAAGAACATAAATTAGCCTCATATATGAAACTTTCACTAGGGCAGCCTGATCACCAAAACCCCCTTAGGCCAATAATTCATTAGCTCTACCTCAATTACTATTACACCAAAAACACAACAGTAACTCTGAGCGCCAAAGTCCAAACCACACAGTTCACAATGGTAAAGCAACACAGAAGCCCACCAGGTTTAGTTAGTGAAGAAACTACCTCAGATGACCCAATCAGTAATAGTGAGCTAGATAACCTCTCTGACAAGGAATTTAGAAGGGAACTACTGTAGGGAGCTAAAAGAAACAATGAAACACACTGGCGATTAAATACAAGAGGATTTCAGAGCACAAATGAGGAAAATGCAAACAAAATTACAAACAGAAATGACAGATCTGAAAAAACTAGTAAGTGGTTTGAAAAACTCATTGGAAGGCCTCAGCAGCCGATAACAGCTGCTGAGGACAGAATCAGTGAGCTCCAAGATGAGGTGCAGAGAGTCTCCAGACAACAGCAGAAAATAGAAAAGAGCCGCAAAATAAACCAACAGATGTCAAGAGAAAATGGGGATGAAACCAAGAGGATAAGAATCACTGGAGTCCCAGAGGGACAGGAAGAAAACCCTGATGAAGAAACTGCCAAAGACATAATTGCTAAGACATTCCCAGAGCTGAAAAGCACATGCACCCAGATTCAGGAGGCCCAAAGGGAGCCAGCTAAAAGAAATCCAAGTAAAAATACTCCAAGACACATTCTAATCAGAATGACAAAAACCATAAACAGAGATAAAATACTGAAAGCATCAAGATCAAAGGAAGAAACTGCTTATAAAGGAGCATAGTGAAAAAACTCAATGAAATAAATGCTTCATCAAGAATACTTTACCCAGCTAGACTCTCATTCATATCAGAAGGAACAACACACATCTTCACAGACAAACAACTCAGGAACTTCATAGACTCAAAACCATGGTTATAAAAACAACTAAACGGGCTATGTTAAGACAACAAGCCCCTCAAATATACCAACTTTAGGAAGAAAGATGGGATAAAACCCCGTAACAATAATCTCTCTCAACGTCAGTGGGCTAAATGAACCAATTAAAAGACACAGAGTGGCAGAATTGATCAGAAAATTGAACCCAACATTTTTCTGCCTACAAGAAACACATCTGAATAGCCTGAGCAAACACAGACTCAAAGTGAAAAGATGGAAAACAATTCTACAGGCAAACAACTCCCTCAAAAAAATGGGGGTGGCCATTCTGGTATCAGAACAAATTGATTTCAGACTAAAGAGACACTGGCCACAAGAGACAGTGAAGGTCATTTCTTATTGATCTGTACATCAGTAATAACTCACACTCCTAAATGTATATGCACTTAACGAGGAACCAGCAAAATACTTAAAGCAACTACTCATAGACTTGAAGAAAAACATCAATAGCAACACAACACTAGTTGGAGATCTCAACACCGCTTTATCACCTCTCAATAGATCAACCAGAAACAAGCTTAGCAAGGACATACTTTATCTGAGGGAAGAAATGGAAGAAAGGGGCTTAGTAGATATATCACAGGACACTCCATCTTCAAAATGCTGAATACACGTTCTTCTCAAGTGTGCATGGGACATTCTCCAAGATAGGCCACATTCTGGGCCATAAAACATACCTCCATAAAATTAAGAAAATAGAGATTGTATCAACAATCTTCTCAGACCATGATACACTGAAAATAGAAGTGAATCACACACACAAACAGAAAATCAAATCAAACACCTGGAAATTAAACAGTTAACTACTGAACAAGGAGTGACTTAGAAAGGAAATCAAAGAGGAAATCAAAAGATTACCAGAATGTATAGGACATGGCAAAAGCTGTGTGAAGAGGAATGTTTAAGCTCTACAAGCATTCCTCAGGAAGAAAGAGCAAGTCCACATAATGTAACCTAACCTCACAGCTTAAGATATTGAAGAATTATCAATAAAAGGAGCCCAACACAGACAGGAGGAAGAAAACAATAAAAATTAGAGCAGAAATTAATGAGATGAAAGCCAAAAAAAATCCAAAGAACAATAAAACCAAGAGCTGATTCTTTGAGAAAATAAACAAGATCTATGAATCTCTAGCAAGACTCATAGAGAAAAGGAGAAAAAAAAGTCTAATAAACAGAATCAGAAATGAAGAAGGGGACATCACAACAGAAACTACAGAAACCCAAAATACCACAGTGATCATTTCAAGGAGCCCATGTGAGTGGACAGTAAGGTAAATACAAGATCATCTCACAGTTCTCCAACAGTTCCAGAGACCCTGGAGACACAGAGTAGGGATTGTAATGGGGACAGGAGGATTTAGAGCAGCTTCAAACAGTATGTGACTGGATGTAGCCTGTGTGCTCTAGTAAGTTTCAAGGTTATCATCTAGAATGCAGTACCGCAAGCTCATGATGAGCACTGGTAGATTTCTCCGGCCACACATAGTGTGAGCAGTGCCAGGGACAGTGGAAAAGGAGAGTCTTCAGGTCTGAGCACCCTAATATTGTCTCTTGGACAACTCACATACTCTCCTAAGTTCTCATGACCGCAACCTTGAAATTGGGATAATAATTTTGACCTGCTCTATGGCAGGGTGATGAACTGATGCTCACCCAGGTCACTTCCATGGCTTATGTCTGGGAGATTGTGAGCTGCTCTTTGGAACAATGATTCTAAAACTTGGTCCTACTTTAACTGTGGAACTGTTAAAGTAGCTAGGGTCCTTTTTGGACAAATAGGATGTCATCATTCAGGAAGTGTTGAAGAAGTATACGTTGTGCCACCACTATGGCTCCAAGGCTGATCTGCCTGTAGAAGTCTCCTTGGACAAATGCGGCTACCCACCAAGTGAAAGAGAAAGTATAATTGGAGTAACAAGACCAAGAGGAGGAACCGGGACCAGTTACATGAAACACCTGAAAATTGTGTACCGAAGGTTCAGGCATGGATTTCATGAGGGAACAACGCCTGAACCCAGGGGAGCAGTTGTTGCAGCATTGGGCTCATCTTAAGGATTTCAGAAACTGGTATCAATAAACTCTCTGGTTTTAAAATTAATTAAATTATGCAGGGTCTATTTCTCCAAGTCTCTAGTTAGCTATCTTAGATGAATATACCGGGGGGGGGGGGGGCGGGGATATCATTTGAGTGATTCTGATGAGTTTTCAGGTTCAAAAGCCATCAGGTTAATGAACCCTGGAGTAGAAAATGAACTGACACCAGACAACGCAGCTCTTAGACACTGTTACTTAACCTACAGTGTAACTAAACTTCAGTTGACCTTAGGACACGAATGTAGGACAAGTGGTCATGTCTGGGTCAAATTCATTGTAATTATCGGTATGAGTCTCACACACACACACACACACACACACACAGAGCAATATATGTAGTAATAGGGTGTTTTACAAAGGACTTGGTGTTGCTTTGAGCAAAGGTCTAGGAAGATCATGAGAGATAGAGACCAGGAGAGAACATGAAGAACACCACAGATATTAGAAGCGGTGGTCTCAGAAAAGAAAGCATTGCTATAAATGGCTGCATTACTGTTCAGGAGACTAATTGCAGTATACATACCTAGGGAATGATCAAAACAAATATAACCTGAGCTGAGAAAAGTGTAAAGCATGACGTGTAATGTGAGGGGTAGGAAAGCAGAAACCAGTGAACAAAGATTTTAAGGAAGACTTTCGTCACCACAAAATAAACTGTCAGTCCTCAAGGATACCTGGGAGGGATAATAGGATTAGAGAAATCTCACCAAGAACCGTACATAGATGCATCTGATAAGTCTAAGAAAACCGAGAGGTTGGGAGTTTGGGTATGGTCTAGTGAAGAGGGTTCACAAGAAAGTCTGAGGGAGCTGTTTGGATAGGAATGTCTGAGCAAAAACTAGACATATTGCTTGATGTTTTACTCAAAGGAAGTAGTATTTAATATCTTCTACTATCACAGACATGCTTAATTTTGGGAAGCTTATTTTTTTAATGAACTGACTTGTTGACTCAATAATTAGAAATCTAGTACATGTATCAGAAAAAGTGTAGGCTTTAGAAGGAAGTATATTTTTGACTCAATGTAAAAAACTTTTTAAACAAAGGTACAAAATCTTCTGTATGAATAAAATTTGCTCACAGATCCCTGAAGGCTGGGACTGCTGAGGTTTGGCTTCTGGCAGTCCAAGCTGGAGTGGCAGAGAATTTACACAGAAGTAAGCACAGTGGGAAAAAAAAACAAGAGGTGAAGGGAAGTCTGCAATCTCTGAATTAACATTTCAACATCAAATGAGGGAAGCCAGGCTCCAACTTCAGGCCCAGGTCAAGTCAGGGCAGGTCATGTGAAAGCTTCTCTGGAACCAAGGGGTGGGAAGCTGATTAAAACCAAAAGCAAAGCAAAATTGTTAGCATGAAAGTGGATTTTCCAACACTGAAAAATTCAGGTATGCAGATTTTGTGACTGAAATCTTCATGTTTTTATGGAGTCTGTGATGGGTTACCTCCCCCCATCTCCCTGTACTTTTAGGACCTCGACAGTCATGTTCATAAACCACCTCTAGAGCTATGTAAGTTCATTTACCAACTATGATCTAGAGGCTCATAAATCAATCTTGAAAGAGATGAACAAGTTGCAGAGGATTCTTCCTTACACCCTGTGCATAGTTGAGTTATACAAGACACACTGGAGGTGTGGGTCAGCCCCGTGCCTGCTCAAACTGACACAGCAGCCTAAAACTCCAACACTCCACAATAGCCGTCATGCCCAAAGCTGGACTCCGCTGACTCACCCAGAAATTAATCCTCTGAAGAACTTCAGGTGTGCAGGCTTTGAGACTGAAATCTCCAGTCTTTCAAGGAGTTGATGAAGGGCTAACTTCCCCCCATCTCCCTGTATTTCTCAAACTCTACAGCACTGATAAATCAGTCGTAGCATACCAGATTGGATGGGATGTAACTAAGAAGGTAATCAATCTCAGTTAACAAAACACAAACACAGAAGGCTTAACTTGTAACAACATCTTATCAAACCTTTTAAACAAGGACTTAATGTCTCCATGGTGAGAGACAATAATTTTCACTAACTTTCTTCTAAGGAAACATTTTTTGACTATTCTCTTAGCAAATTATTGAAAACAAGCAATATGAAATAAATTACTGAGGGCCTGTTGTGGTAGCAGATTTGAGGGTTTATTGGGAAAATTGGAGACCATGGTGGAGAGAAGTTGTAATGGTACTGGGATTAGTATTGGAATATGTGATGCCTGCCCTGGGTGAAACAGCCCAGACAAGATCCATGAAAGGTGGGTCAAAGTCAAGTTTTTCATTCTCACTGCTAAAAACACCCTGGGATTATGAAGAAAATGATCCAGACAAATCGACCAAAAGACAAGCAAACACCCCCAAAGTCCATGTCTAACAATTCAATTAGAGGAGTTCTCCTATCAACTTCCATAACTGGGTCCAGGCAAAGACCACAGTTTGACTATCATTTAAAGGGGAGAAAGTCATTTATATAGGGGAACAAACACTGCATCCACACTACAAATAGTTCCTGGCAGGAGAGGTGCAGCTCACCACTGTCAGGATTTTTCTAGGGTTTTCAAATCATTGAACACCAGAAATCAACTCTCATCTGTCTGTTTTGATGGGTCTATTTTCTTTCTGTCGCGTACAGAATTGCTGGCAGGTAAGCAGAATGGCAACTCAGTAATTGGATTCATGCTGTGATGTTGTAACTCTTTTTTTCCCCCCACTTTTAAGAATTTTTTCATTAAGGCACCATGGTTTATATAACTATAGTTGGTTTTCAGGCATACAATGTTCTAATATCAATCCTACCACCAGCATTGACTTTCCTCCACCAATGTCCCCAGGTTCCTCTCGGCCCCCTAGTCTGCAGCCTTGACAAGCACATTGTTGGTAGCACTTTTTCTTGAGACTAGATTTCAAGCAGAAAAACATTCTCCAGTTAAATTCAAGAAGCTAAGCAAAAAGTTTTGTTCTCTCCCCCATCTGGAGACAAAAAATTGAAGTGATCAGAAGTATTGAAGTATGCCTATAGTTAGCCTATATTTCAGAATTGCAGTTTTGTCTTTTTTCTCATTCTCTTTCTTTCTTGTTCTTTTTTTCCTTCCTTCCTTCTTTCCTTCCTTCCTTTCTTTTTTAAACTTTCTTTCTTTGCTCTTTTCTCTCTTACTTGCGTTCTTTCCTTCTCTCCATATGTGTATGTATATGTGTGTAGATAGATAGATAGATAGATAGATAGATAGATAGATAGATAGATAGATATGATTTCGCACCAGGCTGTTTTTCACTCGGGGAACCCCAGAGTGGGATAGCTGAGAGCCCTCCCTGCCCCAAGGGACGCAGCCCCAGCAGTCAACCTCCACTACCCAACCGCCGACACGCTCCAGGCCGCTTTCTAGACACATCATAAGACACTTCCTACCCATTTTACATAATTACCACACCATGTTTGATGGAATTCAGACAGTAGTAAACAAATCATAGAGAGAAATATATAGATTTTTATATATGCCTATATATATAGCACAGCGGTAGGGCGTTTGCCTTGCACGCAGCCAACATGGCCGATGCAAGTTCGATTCCTCTGCCCCTCTCGGAGAGCCTGGCAAGCTACCGAGAGTATCTCGCCCACACGGCAGAGCCTGGCAAGCCACCCATGATGTATTCGATATGCCAAACACAGTAACAACAAAATCTCCAATGGAGATGTTACTGGGCCCGCTTGAGCAAATCGATGAACAACGGGAGGGCCTTTACTTTTACTTTACTTTATATATATTTATATATATAGGCATATAAATTTATATATATGCCTCTTGGAGAGCCCGGCAAGCTACCGAGAGTATCCCGCCTGCACTGGCAGAGCCTGGCAAGATTCTTGTGATGTATTCGATATGCCAAAACTAGTAACTATAACAGGTCTCATTCCTCTGACCTTTAAAGAGCCTCCAATCATTGGGAAAGATGAGTAAGGAGAGGCTGCTAAAATCTCAGACCTGGGATGAATAGAGACGTTACTGGCACCTGCTCAAGTAAATCGATGAACAATGGGATGACAGTGATACAGTGATATAGAGAGGGCCTGTGTGGTGGCAGACTTGAGGGTTTACTGGGATGAGACTGAAATCTCCAAATAACTTACCTATGTAGGTAAGTTATTTGCAAGTATTTACATGCATATTATTTTATTTTTCTAGAAGACTGACAAGATTTATGGTAGCTTGAAGCAACTTTAGTCAGTAATTATTTACTTGAGGGTAGGTGATGTACTCAAGATGTAATAAATTCATTTTTCTCCATCCAGTTTCCAGTTCACCTGGATGAGAAAAGTTGGATTGACCCTTGTCCACCAGTGACCAAGGATTGAAATTGCTTGAGTACAGATCTCAGGTTCCTTCTCTGGGATTTGTCAAGTCACATGGTTCAGAAAGTCTGTTTTTCTCTCATGTAAAGAAACAGAAACTGAGCCCTTAGACAACTGGCAACGGGGCCTGTCAGGGACATGACCTTCTAGTGCCTTCTCTCAGACAAGAAAAACCACCAAAAGGATTTTTGAATTCCATGTTATCTTGAAGCTCTTCACTGATAGAACTGTAACTCAGTTTTATATACCCTCCAAGGGGATTTTGTCACCAAAATAAGCATCAGTGCATTTTCACAGTCGACCTTCTGCACTAGGCTAACATGCCTGAATTAGAGAAATCAGATATTGAGACAAGAGCTCACAGCATTTATTAAGTCTTTAAGTGAATTAAATGAATGGCTGTTTTCCACAGAGTAGAATTAATAACTCATATGGATATAGCACCAGTAATGTTAAAGTCATTTTTTTGTGCTAATGGGTTCTTGGGAATGTATGAAAGATTTGCATATAAAACTCAGAAGGTTAAGAAATTGGAGTTTGATTTGTACA